GTTTGGGTTGAGAATCACTGTCATAGAAGATAAAATCAGGATTCAGAAAGATCTTTATAAGTTTAGAATGGTCAGTTGAAATCAGTGAGATAAAATTTAACATGAGTAAATAAATGTACATTGCTTTTAGGTTTTTTAAAAATCAACTGTATAGGACAGAGTACCTAGGTTGGTGCTTGATTTGTGAAAAAGATGAAAGAAGCTTAGTTGATCACAAGCTTAGTATGATAATATGATTTAATAGCTTAAAAAGCTACTATAGTATGATCTTAGACTGCATTAACAGAACCATGAAGCCCACAGTATAAAAAACCTGCAATTGTCAGACCATATCTGGTATTCAGGTTTGAATGACATATTTTATAAAAGACTGACAAATAGACAAGGGAATGGTAGAAGAACTAATAAGAGGTCCAGACAATCTCATACAACAAAACAGTTGAAAGACCTAGGTATATTTTAAGCTAGAAGAAAATAATAATAAACAAGGGGAGACAAGATAGCTATAATCACATTTGAAGACCCATCATGTTCAATAGAGTATAGTGTGTTTTGTATTGCCTCCAGATTGCAAAGAAGTAGCATTGTATTTATCCTAAAAAAGACCTTGCTTGTTTTAGAGTGAAAGAAATAGCTTTATTTTTTCTAAAAGGTTAAAAAATGTTTATTGTAAAAATTTCAGGAAATATGTATAAGTATAAAGAGAAAATAATGATCACCCCATTATCCCACTGCCCACAGATAACCACTTTAACCAGGATCAGCTAATTGTGGGGCCCAGTGCAAAATGAACAAGTAGGGCTTTCTGTTTAAAAACTAAGAATTTCAAGATGGTGACAGCAAAGCATTTAACCAAGCCATAAGGGCCCTTCTGAGCATGGGGTCCTATGGGCAGGTCACAAGCCCATGAAGCCAGCCCTGACTGTAACATAAGGATATATATATATATATATATATATATATATATATATATATATATATATATATAAATCCTTTCATATTTTAGAAAGCACTTTCTAATTTATAGAAATTCCCAACAATATGGGCTGCCTTGGGAGAAGTAAAATCAAGTTATAAAGGAAAGGGGAGGCTTTCTGTCAGGGATAATATAGGGTAGATGAATGTGCTGGACATTGGGCTACATGACCTTTAGGATATCGTTCATCTCGAAAGTCAGTGGTGCTATATCTCTATTCAGCCGAAATGAATTGGTTCTTGAACAGTAATCATTACCTGCAAATTGCCTATTTTTTTTAAATCATAGAACCTTGCTTTTTTGTTATCTTGCTATGCTGTTTAGTAAAAAGTATTTCACATCAATGATGGTGGTAAATTTCCTTAAGAAGTTTGATGTTACTGGTATGACAGGATGCTCCCAAAACCCTATCAACCTTTACCAAGGCCTAGAACATTGGTACCTTACTCAATTACAGACATTCAATGGATGATTTGAATTTCTTGATATTTTTAAATCTCTTATTTTCTCATGCAGCTGAGAGACAGTATCTATTCTCTTTCCAATTTACTGTAGCTATAGAACTTCCCATGAGTAGGCTGATTCATGACCTTGGATGTTCAGGCTGTAAGATGGTAAACCTCTGTGTATAATGGAAAAGCAGCCGAAGGTTGTCAGCTTGTTTTTTTGTACTTTTAGAACCCAGACGTTGGCACATATTAATTCCTGAATGACTTGCAAAGACTTAACGATTATAGCTTAATGTGCTGCAAGATTTCCCCAAGTGACAAGAAATGTATTCTAGAACTAGCTTCCCAATTATTTGTTGCATAGTTTTATACTAATTGCCTGATTTAATGCACTTACACAAACTGAACAATTTCCTTTGTACCTAGTGTACGGCACTTACCTTGTAAACATTTCTGCTGCAAAAAGAAATGACCTTTCCTGCCAGTAATTTCGACCACTTTGTCCCCAGTCTCAAAACTTTCTGTCAGAGAACTAATGGTTTTGATATTACTCAGGAATGATTATCTGTGGCCTCTCCATTCCTCTCTGCCTCCTTACATGTCCACACTCCCACTAGTATCTTTCAGAGTGAGTCAAACTTTTCTTTATCTCTGTTCTTTCTCCTGTTCTTCTAATATTTATTACTTTTTCTAGTGTATGTAAATAAGGTAATCAGATTAGAGCTAGTTTCATTTCAAATGTGGTAAAGGTAAAATGATTTTCCTCACAAATTTGAAAATATTTTTTTGAAACCTTTTTTGGAATTTAGGTTCTTGGAAGGCAAATCTAACAGCTAAAATAGTGCTGTGCTTAGTAAGTGCTTTTATTTGACGTTATAATTGCTTTATTTTGACAATTTTGTTGAGTTATTATATATATATATGTTTATGTACGAGGTCAGACAATTAAGTTCTCGAACTAATCCTAGAAAAAGTGCTACATACCTCATTGCTGAATATCACTATGGTCACCTTCGAAGAACTCCCCTTGGGAAGCTATGCACCGATGCCAGCACGTAGTCCACCCTTCAAAGCAATTTTGGAACTCTTTTTCTGGAATGGCCACCAGAGCTGTTGTCATATTACCCTTGATGTCCTGAATGTCATAAAAATGTCTTCCTTTCAATATTTCCTTTACCTTTGGGTAAAGAAAGAAGTCATTGCGGGCCAGATCAAGTGAGTAGGGAGGGTGTTCCAATACAGTTATTTGTTTACTGGCTAAAAACTCCCTCACAGACAGTGTCATGTGAGCTGGTGCGTTGTCGTGATGTAAGAGCCATGAATTGTTGGTGAAAAGTTCAAGTCGTTTTCATCCAACTTTTTCATGCAGCCTTTGCAGCACTTCCAAATAGGAAACTTGGTTAACTGTTTGTCCAGCTGGTACAAATTCATAATGAATAATCTCTCTGATATCAAAAAAGGCTAGCAACATCATTGCCGCAAGTTCGTGAACTTAATTGCAGACCTCGTACACAGTCATACACTTGATTTCTATTTTCAACCTGAAGAAAGTTAACCTCTTTTGGTTCTGTTTTTTAAACAAAGTCTTAATTCATACAGTAACCTTTTTCATATCAGATAACTTCTTTTCTCTATAATCTGCACATGGTGCCATTGCCAAATCTTTTTTCTTGATATTTTACCCCCACTATCAAAATCCTCTGTCAGGTTGCTGATTAATATTATGCTGCTTTTGTGACCCCTGTTTTTAGTTTTTACCAATTCCTACATCCACTTTTCCACCCTTTCCTTTTAGTTGAGCCAAATTTCTCTTTATCTCTTTGTTCTATCTCCTACTCTTCTCATTTACCTCCCTCTATGCTTATGATAACTTCCTACCTCCCATCTGCCAACCTACCTATATTCTCATTCAAAGCTTGCTTGAAATCTTAACTCCTTTTAAGTGGGTAAAGACAGGAAAATAGCCAAAAGTCTGCTTTATAAATGACTTAATTTTTTTCTCAAAAATCTATATGCTAAATTAAAGAGAAATGTCTCATAAAGCAAAACCAACACTCAACCAATCAAAGCTTCCAGAAAAGGAAGGTCGATTTATATATTTCAGCCATTCCCATTGATAGAGTTAAAGTCAATAAATTTTGCTCCTGTTGTGTGCAGCAATATGTTAAAAGTTAGGGATACAAACCCAGAGGTAGAAGATGTGGTTATTGTCCTCATAGAATTGATAATCTAGGTAAGGAGATAAGCACTTAGTAAGTAGTTATAACTAGCCTAATAATTAAAATGATAGGTTGTGTTGTATAGACTTTAAGTGCTGTTAGTATCAAAGAAAAGGAAGGCATTATTGCTTGGGGTTGCCAGTGAAGACATCATAGGGGAAATGGGTCTTTTTTTTAAGATTTTATTGGGGAATTGGGGGAGGGGAACAGACAAGTTTCTGTCCTTTTGTTCTTCAGTATAGTTGTGGAGGACATCGCTTCACTGGCCCATGTTGGTATTATCATTGTGCTCTTCCCGGCTGAGGCAGATCGGTCGCTGACTTCTGGAAGGCTGCTCACGGGGGCTCTTGGCAGCTCACATCAGCTGCCGGCCACTCATGGCAGCTCATGGCAGCCCACTGCAGCTCTGCTGCAGCCTACGGCGTCACCAGTGACTCACAGCAGCCCAGCTCCATCCAGGTTGAGCTGTCATTCACCATCTTAGCTGTGGAATGGACTGCGTCACTGGCCCTCATGTGGGATCCAAACCGGGGCCCTGCTGCCAAGAGCCGGCATCCCAAGCCAACTCTTAACCAATGCGCCACTCAGCCAGTCTGGGAAACGGGTCTTGAAGAAAATGTTGAATTTGAATCAGCTGGACTGGCCTAGAAGGCATGTGTTAACATTTCTAGGTAAAACGAGAATTGCTTAGCAAAGACCATAAGGGAGAAATTAGTTGGTTGTTTAAGAAAACAGCCAACTTTGTTCTAGTGAGGAGTAGCAAATATTATCAGATCATTAAATTGGAACTAATTGATCAAAAGCCTTGAATTCCCCATTGAATTAAGGATTGTTAAAAAGAAAATCCTTTTACCTAATTATTTTAATTAATCACAGTTTTATCTTGTTTAAATATCTAAGATTTTCTTATATAATAGTATTAGCTAACATTGAGTGTTTTCCTATGTGCTAAGCATTGTTCTAAGTATTTTATATGTAATAGTAACTCATTTTATTTTTACTATGCCAGGATTCAAACCTAGGTAGTCTCTGGTACCAGAATCTACATTCTTGTCTGCTATACACACAACCTTGTAAAGGAGGTATATAAGTGCTGTAAATACATCGTGAGATTTGGACAATTGAACCTGACTTATTTTATTGAAAGATCAGTTCCTGAAGTACTGCTCACATCGAAACACTAATATCTTCATCCAGAATATATATATTTTTTAACAGAAGTCTCTATAAGGAAACTTTGGGCTAGAATTTAAAAAGTAAATCCATTGGGTTTTGGGGCTTTTTTTTTGTCATATGAAGAGCTATTGATATTATCTCTTGTAAAATCCTATGTCAACAGTCTCTTTATTACAACAGGGCTTCTCGTTGGGACTCTTGATTCCGTCTTAGACTCAACTGCTAAAGTAGCTCCATTTCGCATTCTACACCAGACACCAGATTCTCAGGTTTACCTGTCAATTGCATGTGGTGAGTATGATTTTTAAAACCTATAATTCAAACAAATAAGGATACTAATAAATTGAATCAATGTATTTATGTTCCCCGGTTGTTTTGATTTAGATGTGTTAAATGTGCAACTCTACTTTGAGAGAATATGAATACTTCTAATTGTTTATTTAAAAATATCACAGATTATTGTGATTTTAAAAAATTGATTAGTGGGAGGCACATGAAGCATGTGTTGCAGCAGGGCTGCTTCTGAGCAAATTTTGGTCATTGCTACTGCTGTTGACTCCTTTCTTCAGCTTAATTCTCCTGCTTCACTTAACTCCAGGGAAGATGAGAACTTCCACATGAAATACTTTGTTTCATCTGTAATAACTCAGTTGAGGAGAATCAAGCCCAAAACATAAACATCCTCCCCTAAGAAGGTGTAAGCCTGAAGAATTGAATCTTCTTTAGTTACACACATACTTTCTTACAAAAGGCATCATTTTTGTGACAACCCCCCTCCCCCAATCTGCCACCCCACTCCCCTCCATATCATACATATCTATTACAATTCCTTTGACTCCACTCCCACACTATACCCCACAACCCGTGACTATATATATATTCAATTATAGTTGATATACAATATTATACAATATCAGCTTCAGGTGTACAGTGCAGTGATCAAGTCTCTACCCCATCCATGAAGTGGTCTCCCTAACAAGACACGTGACCATCTGACACCCTACAAAACATTTACAACATTATTAATTATATTCCCCTGTCTTTCACATCCTTGTGGCAATATATGTAGTAACTACAGTATTGTCACAGGGACAGCTTACTGTGTTTATGATGCCATTATAATGTTGGTCTAAATTAGAATCCCAGATTTTTGGCCTTTTTAATATTGAATGACTGCTTTTTTTCTCTTTCTTTCTCTTTTTGCCCATTCTCTTCTCAAGTAGATATACTTTTTTAAAAATTCATGTGACTTTTGGATAGTTCATATCTGTGAACACATAGCTACAGTATACGATTAATTTTTAAAGATGTGTGGCTTGTTTTTTGCTACTCCCTCTAAATTCCCTCAGTGTTGTTAGTGAATGTTTTCTTCTCACTCTCTTAAATTGAATGGCATTTAAACAAAATGAAGAAGACATTACACCTGCTGACATTATGAGACGTCAGTAACTTCGGCTTTAAATCTGGTTGGTAGAAATTGTTTAGAAAAAAATGTCCCTTCTACTTTCTATTTAAATAATGTTTATATAACTTATTCCTCCAAATTGACCTGATGCAGAAATATAGTAGTTACCTACTAATGAAGCCCCCTTAGACATAAAGGACCAAAATAAAGGCCTAAAAAATTTCCCATGGCTTTTTTTTTAGAAATATCATAAAACATTTTTATTGTGAACACTGCTTCATACAATGCAAAACTATTTACAATGTGTTGTTTTCATATTGGTTGATTTTACATCGTATATATACCCAACACATGTCTTCAGCCAGTAGCTTCAGCCCAGTTGCACATTTTCCTTAGACTCCATAGCCCTCCAAGGTCCCTGGAGATTCAGGAAATCTATCCACTTACATTCTCCTTAGTAATTATGGCGCGGCAGGCATGCCACCAAAATCATCTGTAGCCCAGAGACTAGCAATCACTCATATGTAAAATGTGTAGACTAGCTTTTTCTCCGGTAAATACTAATTTGGCATTACAATCCATTTCCAGCTTAAGAAATTGTTTTCAGCTAGGAAAGCATTTTTTTTTCTCAGTGGAACTAGAGTGAGTAGTGTGTTTTTCACACTGGAACTGAGTTATGATGTTTTTGTATATAAATATAGCATACTTTGACCAGAAATATAATTTCTTGTTAAAGAGTTTATTTGCCTTCACACACCAGATTGCTACATACATTCCCAGTTTTAATATACTATAATTAGCTATTCTAGTTGTGCTTTAAAATACCAAATATTATTTTCATTAGTGCAAAGAAAATGTTCCATTTGACTACAGTTGGTCCTAGAATTATAAACTCCATAATAATTTCTAGGAAGTTCCCTCATTCTCCAGTTTCATCATTTGTTTTTTCAGGCATGATTTCCAGGCTCTGGCATTTTCTGTGCCTGGTTTATTCAGTCCACATGAAACAGCAGCATAATGGATTTGTTTTAGGTTCTCTAAGGTCTGGTTCTTGGTGTATTTCAAAAGAGCCACTTGTTCCTTTAGGATGGTAATATTCAAGGTAAAGCTCTCCACTGCTTTTTGGAGTGTTTGTTCCTTCAAACCTTCCTTGGTGGCTATGCTGTGCAAGTGTTCATGGGATTCCATGGCTGCCTTCTGACACTGCAGCCTCTTCACACACAGCGTCTGCATTTTCAATCAAGGCCTTGAGGGATTGTACCATCATGTCGTAAGTTGTTACAGCCTTCTGTAGAACCTCAGGCATGATTCCCTGCAACTCCATCGTGGGATACTGCTCGCTGAGATTCAGGACCACCCGGGGTGTGTTATCAGGCCCCAGAAAGCAAGGGTGGGTAGGACACCACCAACATGTACTGCATGAGATTGGCCACAGAGGAGAGGCCACAGAGCTTTAGTGACACAACTGCATGCTGCAGTGGCATCCCGTATAGGGGGCTGGGCATTCTTGAACACCTCATCTACAGTTTTAATCCACAGTTTTCTCAAAGGTGTACATTCCCTGGATTTCTTTTCAGAAAGGCCCCTTTTATGAGGTTTCCCTCATCTTCTTCAGTTAGAGATAGCCACATGGACAAACAAAGAGGCATGTGCTAGGACCTCTCCAGTCAATGACTGCAGGGGGACATGTTGGTAGCCTGTCCGTAAACATTCAAAGGGAGTAGTACACTAAGCAATAAATTCACCTCCAATGTCGTCATCATCTAGTACTACAAAGCACTCCACGGCCAGTTCCAGTAGGTTGATTTTAAATTCAAGGCTTTCATCAAAAATGGGAGCATCTCCATTCTAGTCCACAGTTTTTGTCCTTTGTTCTGCATATTTGGCAGGGATTCCATGAATTTGCACATAGACATAAGGAGCCACCATGTCACCTTTGACACCTGATGCTTTGGGTTTGGGACTGTTGATTGCTTGAAAACTGAACTAAAAGGAAATTGATTCCAGGTCTAGTACAAAGCCCATGGAAAAACCTCAACAAATTCTTCCTTTGTGACTTCAGTATCAGCTTGGTCCTTGAATTTGTGCAATTCTTTGAAATTAAGCTTTGTTTTGCTAGTTTTTAAACCAGGATTGAGGTTTTTTGATACACTGTACCATATTACACAGAGTTACGTGTCCAAGGGTATCTACATCAATTTCACTAAACATTTGTGAAACCCAAGAAGTCCTCTTGTTGTGTTAGCTACTTTCTAATATATCAAGTGTATGTTTTCCATAAGAAATTAGATATTGCAGTCCTGGGACCCAGAAGTTCACAACATCTGCAGAGTTGACAACAAGATCAAGTGACTCATAATTCTCACCACAGATGACTAAAAACACACGATCTTCAGCTATCTGGTCAGAAATACAATTGGTGTGGAATATGTCTGTATTTTTTCCTGTTCTCACTTCCTTGATGGTTTTAATGTCAATCTCGGCTTTTTCAGAATCCTTAGATAGTTCTCACCTCAGCCCCTGCATGTTGGGCATCCAGTAAAATATACCTATGGTAAATACTGGAGTTGGAGAAAACCTTTTTGAGTTCTGAGCCCTCAGCCATTGAATTGATACAATCACTTTCAGTGCTGACCTTCTCTTTCGGCATGCTACTGAATGACACTCGTTTTTGTTGTTCTTTTCTGTTTTGTATCATCCTTGAAGCTGCTGCTCTGGTGAGGCAGCCACCTGGTTTGCTTTCCTGGGGGAAGGGCAGGCGGCCTGGCTAGAGGTCGGAGCAAGCTCTGCCATGGGGTCCCCTGGTGGGGCTGGCCTTGCTCTGCCCCGCCTTTGGCTTTCAGGGCTCCCTTGGCACTGAGGGCTGGGCCTTGGGAGGTGAGTAGGGCCCTGCAAGCCGCAGCCCCCTCCCTGCACCACACTGCTGCCGTGGGTGCCCCATGACCCGCCAGCACAAAGCCTCATCCCCAAGTCCCCTCCCATGGTTTTTATTTGTGGCTCATTAAAGTTATACTTGGTATGGTGACTTTAATAACATGAACGCGATTCTAACTGAATTGTAGGAAATAGGCAAGTTTGCAGTTCCAATACATTTTTAATGTGTCACCTTCCATATATCCTGAAACACTAAGAAGTAAAGATAATTCTTTTGATTGAGATTTGTATAATTCACAATGCTGGAGAAATCTTAAAGGTTTGTGGGTTCTATGGAGAGATTGATATAGAAATGTTCTTCAAGCTGAAGCAACCCAGAGCTAATTTATTTAATTAGACCTTCAATAAGCCACCTAATTCTGATTCAGCAGGTAACATGGATTTAACCCTGCTACAGAATTTCTGACCTCTTTCATGAAATTTCTTTTTTTAATTCATTCTTTAATTAAAGTTTATTGGGGTGACAATGGTTAGTAAAATTACATAGGTTTCAATTGTACAATTCTGAGGGGCCGGCCGAGTGGCTCAGTTGGTTAAGAGCTCGCTCAAGAGTTTGAGCTCTGAGCAACAGCGGTTCGAGGCCAGCCTGAGCTGAGCAGCCGCTAAGCTGCCAATAGGTAGCAGGATGGCTCAGCTAAAAACAAACAAACAAACAAACAAACAATTGTACAATTCTGTAACACATCATCTATATATCACATCATGTATTCACCACCCAGAGTCAGTTCTCCTTCCATCACCATATATTTGACCCCGTTTACCCTCATCTACCACCACCCTTCCCCCGTACCCTCTGGTAACCACTAAACTGTTGTCTGTCTCTATGAGTTTTTCTTTCTTTATTTTTCTTGTCTTGTTCCTTTGTTGCTTTCAGTTTTATATCCCACATATCAGTGAAATCATATGGTTCTCGCTTTTTTCTGTCTGGCTTATTTCGCTTAGCATAATAATCTCAAGATCCATCCATTTTGTCGCAAATGTCACTGTATCATGTTTTCTAATGGCAGAGCAGTATTCCATTGTGTATATATACCACATCCTCTTTATCCAGTAATCCAGCAAAGGACACTTTGGTTGTTTCCATGTCTTGATCACCATAAATAAAGCTGCAATGAACATCGGAGCACAAATATCTTTACAGATAAATGTTTTGAGATTTCTTTGGTATATACCCAGGAGAGGGATTGTTGGGCCATATGCTGATTCTATTCTTAATTTTTTTGAGGCACCTCCATACTGCCTTCCATAGCGGCTGCACCAATAGTGACTAGGTCTTTTAATTTAAGGGTGACTCTGGGCAATGGCTTCATATCTTCTGAAATAGAGTTGCCACAGTTGAAATTCACAGCAAGCATAGGATTTTCACGTGCATGCTGTTTACAGTCACACAGCTTATAGGCACAGTACTATTTTTTGAAGTCTAAGAAATAAATTATGTATATTTGTGTTCTGGTACTCTATATATTATCTTAAAAGATACTCATTATTTTAAGCAGTAGTTACTGGCAACTTGTTTTCAGAATTTTATCTTTCTCAAGTTGTATTTACTTTTCTCCTCTTTCATTAGCTATTTTATTCTTTTTATAATATTTATAATGAAAAATAGTGTTCATGCCCACATAGGGATGAAGTAGAGAACAAGTAATACTTTTTTATGATCATCATTTTTGAAAATGGGCAAAAATAATTTTATTTTACAATTTTATTAAACTAAGCTTGTAAATATCAAGAGCACTTTCATTGTGGAGTTTCTCTTGAGTCTTTTATTCTCTTTCATAATTAATCAGGAGCCAACAGAGAAGAAATAACAAAACATTGGGATTGGCTGGAACAAAATATCATGAAGACCTTATCTGTGTTTGATTCAAATGAAGATATTACTAATTTTGTACAAGGAAAGATAAGAGTAAGTGGCATGGATATAATTTGTAGATGAAATACAAAAATATTTCTCCCACTTATTTGATGATCAAAGGCTTCATGAAAGGTCATTGCTTTATTGGCACCTTTCAGGATTAGCAGAAGCACACATATGAATGTCAGAATCAGGGCTAAAGAAAATTGTCATCAGTGGTTCGTCTTTGGTGCCCTTGTGAGTTGTCGTAGGGATATTTTCATTTCACTGTCTCTTGAGTTTGGAGTTTGAACCCTTCACTCAATCAAAACAATATTTATCACCTGAATTTGTGGTAGCTCTTTGTGAGGCATTAGAAAAAGCCTAATGATAAATTTAAAGAAAATCTGCTCACCTCTACCCTAAGTGTGTAATACATATACACATATATATGTGTGTGTGTGATACATGTACCTGCATAGACATACACAGTTGTATTCAATGAACTGTTTACATATAAAATATATTTTTGTTGGTAGGTAATGATTAATTTTCAGAAAATATTTTGTCTCCCTTAGGGATTAATTGCTGAAGAGGGAAAACATTCTTTTGCAAAAGAAGATGATCCTGAGAAATTTCGAGAAGCCCTTTTGAAATTTGAAAAATGTTTTGGTTTACCAGAGCAGGAGAAGTTAGTGACTTATTACTCATGCAGTTATTGGAAAGGACGGGTTCCTTGTCAGGGTTGGCTCTATCTTAGCACCAACTTTCTGAGCTTCTATTCTTTTTTGTTGGGATCAGAAAGTAAGTGGTTTCTATTGCTTATCATGACTTTGAACTTGCTGGAAGACCTGTCACCTCCTTGGTGGTGTTAGGTTATATATAAGTAATAGGATTGATATTAAGAGTAATTGACTTGTACATTAACATTTCACTTCATCTAGAGAAAGAATCCTTTTAAAGCTGGTTGCTTAATGTAGGAACCATTAGAAATATGTATAGAATGCCTTGCATATTGTGGGAAGTGAATGAATATTAAATGATGATGGTGATCTGACATGTGATTGTAACACCTTTTTTCCCTTGTTCTAAACTACCTGCCTTCTTCAATCCATGTTTTAATCCTTGTTTTAAACATACAGTATAAATATAGTAACCATAGTACCTAATGTCCCACAGCTACAAGAAGAATCAAACAGTATGGTTCATAGCACACATGTAGCTTTTATATCAGTGATTATGTAATTATGTAAAGTAACAGATTCAAATATTAAATCATAATATTTTTTTGAAATCTTTAAAATTACCATATTTTGCCATGTATAATGTGCTCCTGTGTATAACACATTCCCTCATTTTTGGCCCAAACTTGCAGGGGAAAAAATCTTTTGTTTTAATTTTTTAATTCAAATTTTTATTTGTTTACATTTAGGTACTTGTTTTTTGTATTATAAAGGAATTTTCACATTTATTTTTTAACATATTTTGGTACAAGAAATGTTATGTACCGGTAACAAATTTACGATATTTACACATCATAGAAGGCCAAGAACTCTTCATCATTGCAAGTTCTTCGTAAGTTCGACAAAACCGATGATATTCCAGGGTATTATTTTGCATACAGATATCATTATTGATTTCTAAAGTTACACTTTTAACATAAGCATAAATAAAAGAATTTAAAACATTTATGCAGATACAAAATTAGTACTACCCATGTATAATTCGCATCCTTATTTTTCCCTCACAAATTTGGGCAACAAAGTGTGCACTAGACACAGCTAAATACGGTATGTATCTATTCTTAGAGTTACCAATTATTGTATATTCATGGTTATGATTCAGAATTATAACTGATATTGAACGCAAGTATTTTAGTTGTTTATAGCATTTTTTCAAGTAGTTAAATATAGTTTCGAAAGACCTGATTGATAAACATTAATCAATATTGAGAAATTTAATTTATCTACTTATAACCCTTATTTGCAGTAAAACTCATTATCTCCTGGGATGCGGTCTCAAAACTTGAAAAGACTTCAAATGTCATACTGACAGAGAGTATTCATGTGTGTTCCCAAGGGGAGAGTCACTACTTTTCAATGTTTTTGCATATTAATCAAACATACCTCCTAATGGAACAGTTGGCAAACTATGCTATAAAGAGACTTTTTGATAAGGAAACATTTGATGATGACCCAGTCCTTGATGATCCTCTACAAATCACCAAAAGGTATTCAAAGCTTAATTAATACTTACTTTTTAAATAATTGTTTGACCAAAAAACAGTAGCATTGATTAGCATTAAAAGTTAACTGTTCTATATTACATGATAGTTTTTCTTTGGTATTAGTTATCAATGTGTGTGTGTGTGTGTGTTTTAGTTTATTCATATGCATTTCACAAATATTAATAGTATCCTCACCATGAAATTGAATCCTAAGAAGCAATAGAAGTTAGGTTTGAAAATTATTTCTTGAGATCCCAGTAGGATTTTCCCTGGAATGCTTTTTAAAATGTAGAAATGTGTGTGTGTTGTTAGTCTAACTCTAAATTTCTCTATGAGTAGTATAGATAGTTTTGGGTCTGAAATTGTTAAATGTATTGTTTTTAAACATAGTTTATAAAGAGCATCTTTTGTTGTTGTTGTTTTGTTTTGCTTTTTATGAAGAGGCAAGTTAGTGGAGTCAGTGGAGCCATGGGCTTTAGAATGAGAGTAGAACAACCCTTGGACAAGTCATGATCTCTCAGAACCTCTGTTTTCTCATCTGTCATTTCTACCTCAAAGAGCACCTGTGAGGAATGAGCAATATAATGTGTGAAAGCACTTTGTAAAATATAAAGCAGTAGATAAATGTTAATCATTATTAGTGCCTGCATCAGAAGCGTTTGTCCAATAGCGATTTGCCACTCTACTGGGTTTGCTGAAATTGACTCTTTTGTCCTGCTCAACACTCAGAACATTTGACTGAAATGAGTATGCCAAAGTGGAGGGAGAGAGGAGAGGATTCAGAAATAGCTAGTAAAAGCAGCTTCTGTCAAGGAGAATGAAGGTATAGACTAAATGGGAAAGTGTAAGAGGAACCGAAGCCACAGTCCTATGGATAAACCAGGATAAGTGACCTGGTAGGCTGTATGATTACTATATAGTCCTAACTGGGTATAATCATTCCTCTTGCCTATTCCTAAACCATTCCAAAACTGTATATCCATAAGGATTCCTTTGTGAGCCTGCCTACTTTTCTGGAAAATAGATCGAGGTGAACTTTTTACACCTATTACCAAAATTATGTCCCAGTGTGCATCACTTATAAATAGAACTCTAAAATTAAGAATCCTGTTTATGTTATAGTTGAGCATTTGTTTTCGTAGTTTGGGGTTTTTTTTAGATTTTATTGGGGAATTGGGGAAGGGGAACAGCATAGTTGTTGTCCTTCAATCTTAGTTGTGGAGGGCGCAGCTAGTTCAGCTCCAAGTCCAGTTGCCATCCAGCTGCTGGTGAGCAGCTTGTGGCGGCTCAGCTCAAGGTACCGTGTTCAATCTTAGTTGCAGGTCGGCATAGCCCACCATCCTATTCAGGAGTTGAACCCGCAACCTTGTTAGGAGCACGTGCTCTCACCAGCTGAGCCATCCTGCCACCTGTTGGCAGCTCAGTGGCAGCTTAGCTTGGGCGCAGCTCACTGGCCCATGTGGGAATCGAACCGGCGACCCTGTTGCTCAGAGCTCACGCTCCTAACCAACTGAACCACTCAGCCAGCCCCTCGTAGTTTGTTTCTTGATTGGCCACCATAAACAAACTTTTGGGTCGTCAGAAAAGTCATGACATATTTTTTTCTATGCAAAAATGCTTCATGACTTCTCTGACGACCCAATATTTAGCAGTTTTATTTCCCTTAAAATGTCCTCTAAGAGGCCATCTGTCAATGAGTTATTCATTACCACGATGGTATTTAAATGAGATCTAGGAAATCCATTTTTGTCTATGCATTTTTAAGAAAGCGTATTGAAAATGAAATATATCTAAATCCTTTTTTTATACTAAGTTGAAAAGAACAACAGTTTATTTAGACTTAGTCTTCAGATGACTTTTTTCTTTTTCTTTCTTTTTTTTTTAAAGAAATTTTATTGGGGAACATTGTGCTTCTCCAGGGCCCATCAGCTCCAAGTCAAGTAGTTGTTTCGATCTAGTTGTGGAGGGTGTAGCTCAGCTTCCAGTCCAGTCACCATTTTCAATCTAGTTGATTGGGGCCGCAGCCCACCATCCCATGTGGGAATCGAACCAGCAATCTTGTTGTTCAGAGCATGCACCAGCTGAGCCACTCAGCCGCCCCCAGATGACTTTTTTCTAAAATGAAATATCTTTATTGCTTTGACTTATTGTTTTTACAAATATGCATAACTTAACACAGAAATATAATGACAGTAGTTATGTTCAGTGTATATCCTTCCAAGTTTTTATTGCATGAATTAAAAAATATTTGCAAAAAAACATGAATTAGGTTAAACATATGTTCTACAATTTGCTTTTTTTCCACTTAAAATAATGTATCATGAACATCTTTTTATTGGTAGAAATAGACATACTCTTTTAAATAATAGTGAAATAGCCCACCAAATTACTCTTTAAGTGGGGTAAAAATTAATATGGTTTTCTCTTCATATCTATCAGAATTATTTTGAAAGACATAATGAAGTGCCTCCTATTCAAATAGTATATGCTGGAAGGATAAATTTAGTTTTAACTTTGTTGGCTTTGAGTTAGAATTTGCATAATTTACTTAATACCCCAGATGGCATTGCTGCTTAGCTCAAGTGTTTAGTGCCTCTAGAAAAATTGTACTATTTTAAGCAATTATTTTTTATTTATATATTTATATATATCACTGAACAAGTCATCTGTGTTTACTGACACCTATCCTGTGCCCAGTGCTGTTCAAGCAGTGTTGTTTTATCTTGCCTCTACTTTGGATTTTTTAAAACATTCATTTAAATTTTTGCTTCTCTTAGTTTTAATATTATCTTTTATGCACTGCTTTTCCTGTCTACATTTTGATGCCATACATTTTCATTTTATTTTGTTTGAACTGGTTAACTGTCTTGATTTTCTGATAACCAGATATAACAATTATTGTCTGCCAAGATTGATTTTAGCACATGACTATATAATAATCATATAATCTTACAGCAAATCAGCCCTTAACAGATGGTTTGAAGACCTACGTCATCTCTAACTTTTGTGCATTGTAATCCACTAATAATATAAAATTGGAAAAGAGAATAAACAAAATGAATTTTTTAGGAACCAGTGTGTTTCTTCCATTTCATAATTTGTTGAAGAATATAGCATGTAGTGTTTAATCTTTCTGCTTTACAGTGCATTTAGATTAATCAACATAGGCATATGTACACTTAAAATTCATTATTTAAGCTGCCCCCGCCTTTTTTTCTTTCCTGCAGAGGTCTGGAAGATCGAGCCCACAGTGAACAGTTTAATGCTTTTTTTAGGCTGCCCAAAGAAGAAACTTTGAAAGAAGTACATGAATGTTTCTTATGGGTACCATTCAGCCACTTCAATGCTCATGGCAAAATGTGCATTTCTGAAAACTATATCTGCTTTGCCAGCCAGGATGGCAGTCTATGTAGTGTAATCATTCCATTTCGAGAGGTAATGTAAAGTTGTTTACATATCGGGGTTTTTTTGTTTAAAAATGTTATCATTCACAGAGTAAAATGTCCTTTAATTCTGTACGTTATTAAAGACTCACTATATAACATCCTTTTAGTAATTTTTAAATAATCATTATTTAAAATTCAGCATTATTCTTCAGAATAAGAGTACCATTCTTCAATATAAGACTATTAGGATAAGAGCCTTAATAGCTTTTGTTGAAAGTGAAACTAGAAAAAAATGAAAAATTTAGAAACAACATGAGGGTTTGTTAGGATGACACAAAATGGAACATGATAACTCAGACACTTATGACATGAATATTTGATATGCACAGTCAAAAAGAATAGAATTGATAGCTTTTGTGTAAGTCAGAAATAAGCTATTGGCAATACAGCACTGAATTTTTACATTTGTTTTGTCATTTTTAAAGGCAACATGTTAGTTACACCTTTTCCTTAAGAGGTGAAATAACACTCACTGAGTTTACTGGTATCAGTGGTACAACTAGTACCCAAAGTCTGTTTCTTAATTAGCCATACCACGGACCTAAACTTTTATCCACAAAAGAGTAAGCTAAACACATTTTGCCCGAAGGTATCAGCAACAAGGGAAAATGTGATTCATTTATACTATGTTTTACCCCCCAGGTCTTAGCTATAGATAAGACAAACGATTCCAGCAAATCTGTCATCATTAGCATCAAAGGAAAAACCGCTTTTCGCTTTAGTGAAGTTAAAGACTTTGAACAACTGGTGGCAAAACTCAGGCTCAAGTGCGGGGCAGCTTCAACTCAATATCATGATATTAGCACAGAGGTAATTATATAGCAACCAGATCATTTGGAAAAAAAAGGTTTGTGTTTTTTGTGGTCCCTTACTTCAAATAGAATTCATAGTAACTTTCCTATTCATACTTAGGTTTAATTTTTTAAAAGACTAAAACCAAAGAAATTATATTCTCTCAGTCACATCATAAAGCAGAAGTGAAAATTAAGGACTTTATCCTTGTTTAGGAACTCATACTTTATTACAAAACTATTATTATTTGATCTTTCTTGACTATATTTGTTGTTTATCAAGTATGTACATCTTGTACTTTCTTGATGTACTTTCAGCATGTCTTTTTAACAACTCAAACTATATTTCAGAATTCAACAAGGTCTAGGAAAAGAAGTCTCTCCTCTTTCTGCTGTAGAGAGACAGCAATTTTAAACCAGTCTGAATATATTTTATATTATATCAAGTGGGTCAGCCTTATTTATATAATCTAGCCCAAAACAAAATAGTGGCATATCTGTTTACTAGTAAAATATTAGAGGAAACAAATATTTTTGGCAAAGGGTGGTTAAGAGCCTGATTTTGATGTTTACAGTGTTTTTCATGGAAATGTAGATAGTGTCAAATTAATATTTTCAGTGCCTAGGAACCTCATGTTTTTAGTAGATTGATAAAACGTATAAGTATTTATATTGTAATTAAAAATTCAAAGAAAAATCAACATTGGCTTTACTAGTTATATTATTTTATTTGAATTGGATTATAGAGGCTTTTACCGCTCCAGAGACTGAAAAGATTATGCTCAGTCAATTATAGATTATGCTTAAGTCAATTATAATGCAGCATTGGTAACACTAACATTCCCTTTGATAATAGAAACTCACAATGAAAACATGTAATATAATATGTATGTATGTATGTATGTATGTATGTATGTATGTATATCTCAGTTCCAGACACAGAACCTTCATGTTGGCCATCAAGAGTTTTATTGCCCCAACTTTCTAATCTTCCTTCTCTTCATGTATGTACCCAGGATATTCCCTAGTTTGATATGAGGACAGAAGTAAAATTTGATCTGTCTTGCTAATTTCTCTAGAAGTTGGGCCATTTACAAAAATGAACTCAAAATGGATCAAACACCTAAGTAAATGTCAGAGCTGAAACTATAAAATGCTTAGAGAAAACAGGAATAAATCTTCATGACCTTGACTTAGGCAATTTTTTTCTTAGCTATGACACCAAAAACACATGAGAAAAGAAAAAAAAATAGGCAAATTGGACTACATCAAAATTACACTCTTTTGTAGTACAAATGACACCATGGTAGTCTCTTAGGATCTTTGTATGTCTGTGGTATCAGCTGTAATGTCTCCTCTTTTGTTTCTAATTTTATTTGTTGGAGCCCTGTGTCTTTTTTCTTGGTAAATTTAGCCAAAGTTTTGTCAATTTTGTTTATCTTTTCAATAAAAAACTCTTAGTTTTGTTGATAGTTCATTTCTTTTTTTTTGCTGAAAATTATTTCATGTTCTTGATATACCACAATGTTTATCCATTCACCTACTGAAGGATGCCTTGGTTGCTTCCAAGTTTTGGCAAATATGAGTAAAGCTGCTATAAACATTCCTGTGCAGGTTTTTATGTAGACATAACTTTTTAACTCATTTGAGTACATACCTAGGAGCACAATTGATGAACGTATGGTAGGACCATACTTAGCTTTGTAAGAAACTGCCAAACAGCCTTCCAAAGTGGCCATACCGTTTTGCATTCCCACCAGCAATGAATGAGAGAGAGAGTTCCTGTTGTTCCGCATCCTCAGGAGCACTTGGTGTAGTCAGTGTTTCTTGAGACATTTTAATAGATGTGCAGTGGTAGCTCGTTGTTGTTTTAATTTGCAATCCCCTAAGGACATATGATTTTGAGCATTTTTTCATATGATTATTTATATGATTATGTCATCTTTATGTCTTTTTTGATGAGGTCTCTAATTAGATCTTTGCCTATTTTTAACTAGATCTTGGTTTTTTGTTTGTTTGTATTGTTTGTTTGTTTTTGAATGTAGTTTCCTTTAGTTCTTTAACACCTTCTTTACATTCTTAGTTTACAAAATCCAAGAACTACACCCCCTCAGGGACATTTTTGTTGTTGCTTTTTTGTTTATACTTCGTGTTTTTATTTTTAAGCCTGGCTTAACTTAGATCACCCACTAAGTCAATATAAATTAGTGGTCAGCCAATGATGGCTCAGAAGACTTCCTTAAATGTCTTGAACCATGAGGTTTTCCACCTTTGCCAAGGGGATCTTTGTGCAAAGGCATACCTCAAACTTCCAGTAGTTTATACATCAGCCTTAGCTTTCATTTCTTACTTCCAACGTCGGCCAGAGTTGAGTGACTGATACATTCTTCTGTCCCATTTTTTTCCTGGGCAGGTTCAGAGCCCTGTACATACATACATACAGTTAGATCCCCCAGAATATGTTGGCACCTTTCAAAGTTCCCTATGGTCATCTGATTCACCAGGTCTTCATTTTCAATTTCAGCCAGGGTCTTGTTTGTCCCATAATGAAATAGCCTTAGACAGCTGTGATGTTATCAGCAGATTGCTCTGGTTTGCTCTACTGCTGTGAGAAAGGGGCCTCTCTTTCACAGAGCTGAACTCTGAATCAAATCAAATGATAACAACCTCCTGGGAATGGAGATTTTCCAGGGTGCTGCTAGTGTGGTCAAAATATTGACTGTGTCCAGGGGTTGGAACTTTTAATGAAGCTCCAAAGGATTCTTTGCTGTGATAATGCTGGCTTTCATCACTACCACACTCCTGAGCTTGGGAGGGTGACATAGGAATAGCCTCAAGTTAAAACTTCACAGACTCGGGTGTTCTTTTTGAGGTTCATTAGTTTTACTTGAATTGATGCTTTTCAGTTTGTTCTGTGCCTTTGGTTAAGTTCCCATGTTCTGAATGTTTTTTTTAATGTTTTGCCAGTATTTTGTTGCTTTTGTAGGGGAATGGGTTCACTGAGGTCCTGAGTTTCCCGTTCCAGACATTGATTTGTTGACATCTCTAATTTTAATAGAAAAACAATGTCTCCCTGAGATATTGCTTTTAATTGTGGTTTATAAATAACAGATAAAACATTAGCACCTTTTCTTGCAAAAACTTTTAAGCATACATTTCAGACAATTACATTCTTTTTTTTTCAGGTCCCTATTAGTTCTGATTCTACAGACCCATCTGATAATATTGAGGTACGATCTTTGACATGTCAGAGAGAATGCAGGAAAACTGTGAACACCGAAGCCTTAATGACGGTATTTCACCCTCAGAATTTGGAGACTCTTAATTCTAAAATGGTAAGGAAACAAAATATTTAAATCTATGGACTAAAACAGTTGACAAAAATAAAAATCTTAGAGCAAGTGGCTAGAAGGTGCCACTTCTAAACACTCTTCTTTTGGGGCTTGAAAAGGTTTACCTGCTGGAAAAACTGTGTATTGTGTTTGGTTCCATTACACAAAAGGATTATTATCATGAATTAAGATAGAAGATGAAAGTTGACTATTGGGTTTTATTTGCATCGATTTCTAATAATCCTAATCGAGGTGATTTGGGGAGAATGATGGTTCAAAGCTTTACCTTCTAAGTGTAATGCTTATTCCATTTTTATATGAGTTTAGCTAAGAATTAAAATAGTAAATTAAAGCTGTTATGTTCACATGGATTGAAAAGATTGTTGTGATGACAGTGGTCCAGTGTTTGGCCCCTTTGTGAATACTGCTTTTGACCTTCTTTTCTATTCCATAGGTATTGTGTCATGGTGAAGACAGTTATCAAGATATTTGAAAGAAGTTAATTTCTCATTATGTTTAGTTGCTTTGATTTTTGTTGTTGTTGTTATAGTTGAAAGAAAAGATGAAGGAACAGTCATGGAACATCCTATTTGCAGAATGTGGGCATGGTGTTAGCATGTTTCGGACCAAAAAGACTCAAGATCTGGTTATAAGAGGGATTCCAGAGTCCTTAAGAGGAGAGCTCTGGATGCTTTTTTCGGGTATTATATTTATTCACTTTATTTAACAGACATTAATTGTGCCCCTTCTAGGAGTTATGTACCAAGCTAAATAAAAATAATTATTCTTATTCATCATAAATCCAGACCAATCAGAGAGAGTACATTAGTTATGTGTATTTACCTATACGAGGCCTGACAATTAAGCTAGCGAACTTGTCACTGTGCACTTACACTGGCAGCACTGTCCAAAGAGCTCAGCAAGGTTTCATAACCTTGGTATATCAATGCGTCACAGCTGTGTGCGTGATGACGTGTGGCGGTGTCTTGCTGAGTGGCATTCATTATTGTTGTTGCATGTTTTTGTGTGCCATCGTGAGACTGTCTGAGCTTGAAGTAGAGAAATGAACAAACATTAAACTTCTTGTTAAACTTTGGCAAGAGTGGAAGTGAAATAAGGGCCATGTTAGTCCAAGTTTATGAGGATAATGCCATGAAGAAAATGGCAGTGTGCAAATGGATTAAACGTTTTTCTGAGGGGAGAGAATACATCACTAATAAAGAGAGGTTAGGGCGGCCAGTAACTAGCAGAACTGATGAAAACATTGCAAAAATTGTCGAATTGTGGGACAAAGTCGCCAGCTGAGTGTGAGAAGCATAACAGACCAAGTAAACATCGATAGAGAAACAGTTAGGAAAATCTTAACGGAAAATCTTGACATGAGAAAGGTGTGTGCAAAAATGGTCTCAAAGGAGCTCTTGCATCATGACAATGCACCAGCTCACACGGCACTGTCTGTGAGGGAGTTTTTAGCCAGTAAACAAATAACTGTATTGGAACACCCTCCGTACTCACCTGATCTGGCCCCCAATTAGTTCTTTCTTTACCGGAAGATAAAGGAAATCTTGAAGACATTTTGATGACATTCAGGACATCAAGGGTAATACTACAACAGCTCTGATGGCCATTCCAGAAAAAGAATTCCAAAATTGCTTTGAAGGGTGGATTAGATGCTGGTATTGGTGCATAGCTTCCCAAGGGGAGTACTTCAAAAGTGACCATAGTGATATTCAGCAATGAGGTATGTAGTACTTTTTCTAGGATGAGTTCTCGAACTTAATTGTCAGACCTCGTATATGCATACATCCACTGTCTGAGCAGACATAACTAATTATTGGGGGTCAGATCTCTATCTCTAGTGTCAAAGGAAAGTTAAGGGGGGAAAACAGTTCATGAAAATGTTATTCTTTTGGATGAAATTGGGGTCCTCATGTTAGATTCTACTGTGACGTTTTTTCTTTTGTTTGTGGTCACATACCACTTAAGCATAAAGCTAAATTTAAAGGTATTCCAATTCTTCCTGTATATACACAAGTAATATCTTTATTATATTCCTCTTCTTTTGTATGTCAATGCAATCATCTTGACAGGAGCTGTTAATGACATGGCTGCTAATCCCGGCTATTATGCTGACGTGGTTGAGCAGTCCTTAGGGGCCTGTAACTTGGCTACTGAAGAAATTGAACGTGATTTGCGTCGCTCCCTGCCTGAGCACCCAGCCTTTCAGAGTGACACTGGCATATCTGCCCTGAGGCGGGTACTCACTGCTTATGCATACAGGAATCCCAAAATTGGATACTGCCAGGTATGACTTCGTTATGAGTCCAACTGTGTCCTTATTCCAAGTGATACAATCACATCAAATCCAGCTCTACTAGCTTAAAAATTGTGATAATAAGGACAGAGGGTGGGCGGTGATTGATAATGGATATTTTTAACCTAAGTAGAATGGTAATGGAAATACTTAGCAGAACTAATGTTTCATTAATTCATTTTTCTTTTATATTTAGCAAATGTTTATTGAATTCCTGCTTTGTAAAAGATATTGTGGTAGGTGCTGAAGACTGTATAAAGATGAATCAGATAAGGGTCTTCCCTTTAAAAATATATAGACTGGTAGGTATTAAAGCATATTCATTGGCAAATGAAAAACAAATGAGGCAGATTATTAGAGAAATGTAAAGTCCCATCAGGATTTCTAATAGGGATAAATTATTTTCACCTGGAGGAATCAGAGAACACTTCGTGAAAGAGAGAGCATTTATTTGTAGGTCTTGGAAATTGGTGAATTTTGTATGTATGGAAATGGAATGAAAGAACATTCCAGGTGAAGAGATGAATGTAACTAAACACAGGTAGAGGTTGATGTGGAATGTATTGGGTTGTCGGAAAAGTCATGATGCATGTTTGCAAAGAAAAATAAAAAAAACACGTCATGACTTTTCTGACAACCCAATACATAGGACCATGTCTGTTTAGTAGAAGTGTATGGGGAATGAAGTGAAGTAGTTGGAGAAAAAAATCAATGAGGTATATAGATAGGGATAGGTCGGTAGTTTGAATTTTATCTTGTGGGCAGTAGCAGAATCATTGAAAAAAATCCTATATTAATTAGGGTATGGTGGACTGCTAACAAATAATCTCAAACACGTAATAGCTCAAAACATAAAAGTTTACTTAAAGGAATAAACAGAGGAGAGCAAGTATTTAAGTAAGTAGGCAGCTCTCCTCCGTGAGATTATTCAGGGACTTAGGCTAACAGCAGGCTCTGTCATCTTCAAAAGATGGCTTCCAAGGTGCTCTTTCACCGTTACTACTTAGAGGGAGGAGGAGAGAGCATGGAGAAACAATTTGGGAAGATTTGATCAGGTAGGCCTGGAAGGTGCACACATCTTTTCACCTACATATTATTGGAGGATCTTGGTTTCATGGCCACACCTATTCACACAGAAGTCTGCAAAATGTTGTGTGGTTGAGCACACGTATGTGCAGATACTGTGGAAGAAGGGGAGATGGATTGTGGTGAATAGCTAGCACTCTCTGCCACAGATTCATTTATAATGGGTGGGGCACCAATAAGTTGTACATATCAGTCCTATTTATTCATTGAAAGTTATCGATACAGGACAGTTTTTTTAAAACGCAGTTTAAGTGAATGCAAATATAAATGGCGATATTTACTTTTTATTTTTCTGAATTTTAGGCAATGAACATTTTGACTTCAGTGTTGCTTCTGTATGCAAAAGAGGAAGAAGCTTTTTGGCTTTTGGTTGCTGTGTGTGAACGAATGTTGCCTGATTATTTTAATCGTCGAATAATTGGTAAAAACAAAAAACAAAAAAACCCTCATAAACATATACAAATGTACTTCTTTTCCAAACAATTTATATGCTTGTTGCCTATGCAGTTACCTATCAAATGGAAGACCTGATCAATTAGGTTTTAAAATATACAAAATGCAAGCAATATCAAAGTGTCACATTCACTGACATGCTCAAGAGAAGAGCTTTTTGTACTGAATAATGATTGGGAAAATTAATATGTTACTTTTTTAAAAACTAAAGTACCTGGCCTGTTTCTTAATAAAATAGAAATTTTAAGTTTACTGTCTCCATATTGTTAAAACAGTGGTGATCTGAAGAACTACTGGAAATTTTTTAATAGATGACAGATAGATTTTAATCAGCTTAAAATCTTCACATTTATATGAATTGTACAGATATTTTCAAGATTTGAAAGAGGGATGAAGTTCTTGGTTTCTTAGTTGTAATATTTTCTTCAGTCATCAAATATTTATAGATCTGTGATCACCTACCTTAAAACCATAGGTGGTCTAGGGCCGGCCGAGTGGCTCAGTTGGTTAAGAGCTCGCTCAAGAGTTTGAGCTCTGAGCAACAGCGGTTCGAGTCCAGCCCGAGCTGAGCAGCCGCTGAGCTGCCAACAGGTAGCAGGATGGCTCAGCTTAAAAAAAAAAACCATAGATGGTCTCTTTTATACCCACATAAGCCTTCAGTATCATGGCTAGGTCATTGATTGTATTGCCTTTCATTATAGTTATTTGTGTATTTATCTTACGTTGTACTAGATATTAAAGCTTTCTGAAAATGAAACCATTTCATTAATTGGTATATCTCTGATAGCACCTGCAGGTTTCTACACATAATAACAATTCAATAAATAATTGTTCACATGAATTTGAATTGGGTTTCTCAAGTGTTTCTTCACACAAGCCACTCTGTTAGCAGATAAAGAGATATGTGAAAAATAGAAAAGGCACTGAAGAGACACATAATTTAAGGAAGAGAAAGGAGATATATCAGCATACTGATAGAAATGGGAAATATCGGAAACAAGTCCTTTTGAAAGGTGTTCATTTTCAAACTTCTTTTTATGTTCTCCAGGTGCCCTGGTGGATCAGGCTGTCTTTGAAGAACTTATCAGGGATCACCTTCCCCAGCTGACAGAACACATGACTGATATGACATTCTTTTCCTCAGTTTCTCTCTCATGGTTCCTCACACTTTTTATTAGCGTGCTACCTATTGAAAGTGCAGTGAATGTGGTGGACTGTTTTTTCCATGATGGAATAAAGGCCATTTTACAACTGGGATTGGCAATACTTGACTATAATTTAGACAAATTGATGGCATGTAAAGATGATGCTGAAGCTGTGACAGCTTTAAACAGGTACTGTAGGAATCATGACATTTAAATCTGAAGAGCCCCTTAGAGATTATGTTGTTCAATCCCCTTATTTTACAGATGAGGAAACTGAGCCCTAGAAACTTGAAACAATTTGCCTGAGGTCACAAAGCTAGTTGAATGAAAACGCTAGGCCTTAGGCACTCCTATGTTTTCAAATAGAATATAACAAAAGTGAATGACTTTGAAGTAAACCACTAATATCGTTGATCCATTATGCTGGAACTTTCATAATCCCAGTTTGAGCTATAAAGTGTCTCTGTGTAAAAGTAATTTGAAGAGGGAAGGGTAGTTGATAATGTTTAATATCCAGTGGGGGAAATTGTTCTGGGTTCCAAGTGGTTTCAATCAGGTTAGCTGAGCTTTATTTTTGAATATTTGATTGGGTAAATGTTATAATGGTACATCGAATCCCATTATGTACAGAATAAAATATAAATACTTTAGTATTTAGAACTCACTGTGTTAAGGCCTCAGTGTACCTAATCTTGTTTCTCATTACATGCCTCTGCATACCCTATATTGCATCCTTACTAGTCTATGTGCTATGTGCCTTGAACTGAATCTATTTTTTCACCGTACTTCCCTCCCTGCATCTGAAATAATTTCTTCACCATCCCATTCTCCACTCCTATGTGTTTCTAATTCCAAATCATTTTCAAATCCCACTTCTTCATAAGACCGTCCTTTGTCCTCTTAGTTGAAATTAACCTCTAACTACGGAGAAATTAGCTGTCATTTTCTCTGCATTTTACTTCCACTAATTCTTGTATTACTATTACTTTTGAACAGGTTCTTTGACAGTGTCACTAATAAGGATAGCCCATTGCCTTCAAGTGTTCAGCAGGGTTCAAATGTGAATGATGAAAAAAGTCGTATTAGAGTGGATATTACAGATTTGATTAGAGAGTCAAATGAGGTAAGATTTTTAATACCTTAAATATAATTACATAGCATGTTTAAAATGATCAATACTATAGTTATATCTCTAGTGGTATATTAAGAGTAATATATAATACAAGTAAAGATATAATTTAAAATACAACTTCACTTTAAAAAGAAGTTCTGTGAACTGTTCCTAGGTTATATAGCCTCCTTTGCTTCCATTTGCTTTTCATTAAATGAAACTGTATTCACTTACTTTCACAAATAATGACCACTTTTATAACACTATATAAAAAGGTGAAAATTATTCTCTCCTTAGACACTAAGAATTTTACCAATGTTATTGTACTTAGCCTAGACACATAGTAAATGGAATTCTCTCCAGTGAATATATGGAAAAACTGAAATGTGGGAGGTGAAAATTTGCATGACCACTGAACAAGTTAGGAAAATAGCTAAAAATAGAACCAAGGCCTCTGAGAATTGAGTCTGATGAAATTCAATTGTAAGAGAAGTGAATGTTTATGAATGTGTATCCACTGAAATCATATTTCTTACAGAAATATGGCAATATTTGTTGTGAAGATATATACAGCATGCGCTGTCGAAATAGGTTGTATGTGATACAGACCTTAGAGGAAACAACAAAGCAGAATGTGGTGAGTATTCACTCAATGGGGGAAACCCAACTGAAGTAACATTTTTTTTCCAACTTCCCTTAAAAAATTATCATTCTATGTAAAGAAAATGAAAATAACTAAACTTTTTTTTTTAATTAAAGTTCATTGGGGTTACAATTGTTAGTAAAGTTACATATGTTTTAGGCGTACAGTTCTATAATACATCGTCTATATATCACACTGTGTTCACCACCGAGAGTCAGTTCTCTTTCCGTCACCATATATTTAACCCCCTTTTCTCTCTTCTACCACGTTCCTCCCCCCACCCGCTGGTAACCACTAAACTGTTTTCTGTGTCTATGAGTTTTTGTTTGTTTGTTTGTTTGTCTTGTTTCTTTGTTGCTTTCAGTTTTATATCCCACATATGAGTGAAGTCATATGGTTCTCAACTTTTTCTGCAGCTTACTTTTTTTCAGTCAAAAAATATATGGTCATTGTATATCAGTACATACAGATCTACCTCACTTTCTTTAATGTACTGAATATTATACCATAGTATGGATATGATGTACTTTATTTAACTATTCCTGTGGATATATATTTAGTAAGGGTTATTTTTTGCTCTTACAATACCTTATCTAAAAATCCTTGCATATCTATTCTTACACATTTGTAGGAATATTTCTGTAAGGTAGATTCATGAAAGTGGAAGCTGGGTCAAAGAGTTTACCCATTTTAAAATGACAGGTCCTGGGAGGCTGGCCAAGTGACACGTTGGTTAAGAGTTGGCTTGAGAGGCTAGCTCTGAGCAGCAGGGCCCTGGTTCAGATCCCACAGTGATGCTGCACCCTCTACAGATAAGATGGTAAACAACAGCTCAACCTGGAGCTGGGCTGCCACGAGTCGCCGGCAATGGCGGAGGCTGCAGCCCCTGTGGCAGTGGGCTGCCATGAGCTACCGTGAGTGGCCGGCAGCCAGCGTGAGCTGCCAAGAGCCGCCGTGAGTGGCCGTCCAATGCCAGTGAGCGACTGCCTCACCCGGGAAGAGCGCAATGATAATACCAACATGGGCCGGTGAAGTGACGTCCTCCACAGCTAGACTGGGGAGCAAAAAAAGGACAGCAACTTGTCTGGTCCCCTTCCCTGATTCCCCAACACTATTCCCCTCCCCCAATTCCGCAGTAAAATCTTGAAAAGAATTAAATAAATAAAATAAAATGACAGGACCTGCCAAATTGTCCTCCAAAAAATATGTACCAAATTATAACCCTACCAACAGTGCATAAGAATTCCCCCTTTCCCACGCTCCCACTAGCATCAGATATTAAAAATCTTTAATTTGCACCAATTTGATAGATTAAAAAATAAAATTGTACTTTTTATTTCACTGATCACATGTTTATTAGCCTTTTTAATTTCTTAATTTCCTATTTATAGGCTTTGCCCATTTTCCTGTGAGGTTGTTTGTCCTTTTCTTATTGATTTGTAGGAACTCTTTATATATTAGTGGTATCAATTATTTGTCAGTTATATTTGTGGCTAATATTTCCCTTCAATCTTGGTTTGTTTGTTTTTTAATTTTCTTTAGGGTATGTTTCAGAGTATATAAGTTTCAAATTTTTACGTAGTTCAGTCTTTTATTTTTCATGTGTTATGTTGGTTTCATGTCAAACTTAGCAAGTGGACTTTCCTATTTAAAATTGTATAATTTGTAAACAGACTTTGTCATATTGGCTTATAGTACTGGTATTGCTTAGATTTAAAAAAAAACATTTAGATCTTTAATACACGTAAAGTATGTATTTTGTTTATAGTGTGAGATAAGACTCTAATGGTATTTTTTTCCAACTGAAGCAACCCATTGTTTAAATACCATTTATTGAGTAGTCCATTTCTACTGTACTGTACTCTGCCTTTTTCATATGCTAAGTACTTATATACATACATGGGTTTATTCCTGGAGTCTCTTTTTTTCCTGCAACAGCACCACACTGTTTTAACTACTATGGCTTTATAGTCCGTTTTGAAATCTGGTAAGGCTTTTCAAAATTTTTTAATATCCATTTTAATGATGTCTTTTTCAAGGTTCTTTAGTAAGCATTTATAGTTTTCATCATACGGGTCTTATACATTTCTCATTGGGTTTATCTACTTCTATGCATTTGATGGTTTTGTTGCTAATATGAATGAGATGTTTTTTCCTTTACATTTTCTAATGTGTTTATCGCTGTGTATGTAAAAGCTGTGGATTTGCATATGTTGTTTATTAAGTGACTATGTTACTAACTCTCATTAGTTCTAATATTTTTTGGTTTAATTTCTCAAACTTTCTGAATAGACAAGTATATCATGTCTAGTCTAAAGAGTTTTGACCCTTCCTAATATTTATACTTTTTTTTAGGTTTTTGTTTGTGTGTGTGTGTGTGTGTGTGTGTTACTGTATTGGGTAGCATCTTCAGAAGATAATTAAATAATAGCAGTGGGAGTAGACTTCCTTGTCTTATTCCTGAATTTAATAGGAATGCCTCCAGTATTTTATTATTAAGTGTGATGGTTGGTTGCTGTTGATTTTTTTAAAATGTCCTTTGTCATATTAAGGAATATCATTCAGTTTCTAAATTAAAGGATTTTGGACATTACTTTAAAATTAATATTGACTGTTAACTTTGAGCAAATGACTTTTCCATATCTTGAGATTATATATTTTTCTGCTTTAGTAATGGAGTAAATTATATTAAATAACTCCTAATATTAGACTTCTGTTGGATCTTGAATGAATCCTATTTGGTCATGTTGTTGATAATTTTGGTAAATACTTTAGCTAGGTTCTTTACATTTCTGTTAAAGTGACATTGGCATACACTTTTCTCTTTGTGTGTGTGTGCTAGCTTTAGTTTTCATCTAAGAGTTGTGCTCTCATCATAGAATGAATTTTGGAATAAGTCACATTTTTCTATATTCTGGAATAGGTTTGATCATATAGGAATTATCTGTTACCTGAAAGTTTAATGAAATGAGCCTGTAAAACCATCTGGATCTACTACCTTTTGATGGGAGGCAGATCTTTAGTTACCTTTTTAGTTCTATCTATTCAGAGCTTCCTATTCATGAGTTAATTTGATCATTTATATTTTCCTACAGAATTATTCATTTTATATAAATATTATGGAATTTATTCAACTAATATTTTATACCTTCTATGTGCTGAACACTTTTAATAATCCCTGTATCTATGTTTATATTATCGTTTTCCTTCTCAAAGATATTTATTTGTACTTTCATCCCACTTGCCAGATATTTGTCTATTTTGCTTTTTTTCAATTAACCAATTCTTGAGTCTACTGTTTTTTTAATTTCCCCATTCATTAATTTTAGTCTTTTTACTCTCACTTTTAAATTTCTTAAATACCAAAATCATTGTACCATTATACTTATTCTTCGTGGAGTATGATAAAATTACATATTTTCTAAGGTTGTTACTTCTTGGATTATGGTGTTTTTTTTGGCCCAGAGAGGGAATGTACATCTCCCAGTGCCTTTGAAGTGTTTAATGACAACCCCACGTGATGAACTGACAAATTGCTTATGTGGCAAGTGAGGAATATGTGAAATGAGACTTAGAATACTGTTGCTTACATTTATAGACATTAAGTGGCTGTCCTTTGGCAGTGATTTCTGGTATGAAAAGATGAAGGTCAAAGTACGTAACAGAATTTAACTGTAGTCTATGTACAACCTTTTTAAAGGGCAAAATAGGTTCATTTACTTTTGTTCTCGTTACTTTTTACAGTTAGAAGAAAAATATTCTAGTAGAGGGAGATTTCTAAATGCATTCAAAGAGAATTTATATACTGAAGTGTTAAATTCTAAATTGCTTTTAATCTTTTTAAAGTTGCGTGTTGTGTCTCAAGATGTGAAATTGAGCCTTCGTGAATTGGATGAACTTTATATCCTCTTTAAGGTACTAATAAAAAATAATACTCTTTTAGTAGACTTTTACCACAATCATGCTTAAATATTTTATCTTTAATTAATTTAATAAACATGTTTAAAAGAAAGTTATGAAATTATTTTTTCTGATTTAATGACTCTCCTTTTTTGTTTGTTTTTAATAGAAAGAGCTGTTTTTTTCTTATTATTGGAGTTTGAGTTACCCAGCTTTAAAGCACCATGACCCCAGTCTGCCATATTTGGAACAGTATCAGATTGACTGCCAGCAATTCAGAGCATTGTATCACTTGTTGAGTCCCTGGGCTCATTCTGCAAACAGAGACTCACTAGCTTTATGGACATTCAGATTGTTGGATGAAAACTCTGACTGCCTTATAAACTTCAAAGAATTCTCCTCTGCAATTGGTAGGATGGTGTCCAATAATTTTCCTTTATTTTTTCAAGGATTTTATTGGGGAATTGGGGGAGGGGAACAGCACTGGGGAATCGGGGAAGGGGAAAAGACAAGCTGCTGTCCTTTTGTTCTTCAGTCTAGTTGTGAGGACATGGCTTCACTGGCCCATGTTGGTATGGTGATCATTGCGCTCTTCCCAGGTAAGGCAGATCTGTCGCCAGCCTCTGGACGGCAGCTAACGGAGACTCTTGGTAGCTCATGCCATCTGCCAGCCGCTCACGCTGGATGCCAGCCTCTCACAGTAGCTTATGGCAGCCCACTGCAGCAAGGGCTGCAGCCTACGCCATCACCAGTGACTCACGGAAGTCCAGCTCTAGGTTGAGCTGTTGCTCAGCATCTTAGCTGTAGAGGACACAGTGTCACTGGCCCTCATATGTGGGATCCGAACTGGGGCCCTCTGGCGTCCCAAGCCAGATCTTAACCATTGCGCCACTTGGCCGGCCCTAATTTTCCTTTTTAAAGCAAAATATAAAGGTACCCCTAGAAATACTTGGCACTCCCTATTATTGCAGGTATAGTCAGATTTTTATCAGCCTGAGTTACATATCTCCAGGGTCAGCAACAACTGGGCCTTTTATTTGTTTGTTGCTAAATCTAAGTATATTGGTCTCATTTTGCCCCTACCCTTCCAGAAAAGCAAGCTGTTAGATATGGATGTTTTAATGATTAGCATGAAGAAAGAGAATGTCCCAATTTTCCCACACTCAGGCAAATGGATATATTTCAGGAGGACATTCTCCCCCAGTAAAAATCCAACCACATAGCCTAGGAAAGTGGTAAGAGAAATATCCAACAAACATGTTGTGCTTGTAGATGGGCCACAAGTTCTATCATTTTTTTTATTTTCCAGACACCCCATCATGCTTTCTTATCAGGGACTGCCCCTTGAAGAGGAGTTTTCTCCTCAAATGAGGCATAAGGTCGCATTCAAAAGACAAAAGAAATCTGCAGTTGCGGAAAGGGAGATAAGCAGAAGAGCATTTATGCCTCTGATAAAGGGCATTTTGCTTACACACTAAGAGGACAGAATCTGGCTAACTGGGTGGTTGTTTAACTGTTAGTTTAAGTAACAGAAGGTTTCTGCATTATAATTCCTGGCTAATATCTATCTGCACCTTAATTAATCTGTGTTGTTGGAACTGATTGAATGTCCTTTGGATATGTGACTATTCGCTATTGAATTTTATTAACAGACATAATGTACAATGGAAGTTTCACTGAGAAGCTTAAGCTGCTTTTTAAGCTGCATATTCCTCCAGGTAAGAGTTTAACAGTCTTTAATGATGTACAGGAGTTGATTCCATTTTAAGAAGTATAATTACAGATATAATTCCATTTTAACAAATAACATAATTTTCTTTTATGGTCTTAATCCCTTCACCTTTTCACCCAACCCCCCAAACCTCCTCCCATCTGGCAACCGTCAGTTTGTTCTTGTTTCTGTTTTGTTTGTTTATTTTGTTCTTTAGGTTCCACATAGAAGTGAGATCATATGGTATTTGTCTTTCTCAGTCTGACTTATTTCACTTAGCATAGTAACGTAATCTCCAATAGGATATAAGGTTATTCCTTTATTGTGGCCCATGGATCGTACTACCAGTACTTTTGCTGATGTATAGGTACAGTGAAATCTATTGAAGACAGTCTGTGTAGCAGAGGGGTTCACAGCTTTCCTTCCTGTTAATGGTCAATCAATTTAATGATAAATGGTTTTATATAAGAACTACCTATCATTTGCTTATTGGTATAATGTTGAATTTTTATTGTCTTTGTTGTCATTAGAGAGTAGAATTTAACTTTACACAAAGTGCCAAACTTGTGAAACACTACAAATTATTCAGAAAAATGAGATCAGGCAGCAGGGATAGTGAACATTTGGAAAAGGAAACAAAATAAAAGCTATCATTTATTCAGCACCAGCTCTGTCAAGGCATTTACTTCACATGCATTCTTTTTTTTTAAAAAAATAGTTATGAGTTTATTTGAGCCAACTTGATGACACATGCTAGGGAGCAAGATCTCAAATGCTCCCTACTTCACATGCATTCTTATATTTAATTCTCACAATATCCCTAAAAGGTGGTATCCTTCCAGTTTTGACAATAAGAAAACTAAGTGTCAGAAAGATTAAATTATTTGCCAAAGATCACACAGCTAATAAATTACATAGCTGGGATTCAAACTGAGGTCTGACTGACTCCAAAGCTCAGGTTTCTTTTCTTTTTTTTTTTTAGCTGAGCCATCCTGCTACCTGTTGGCAGCTCAGCGGCTGCTCAGCTCAGGCTGGACTCGAACTGCTGTTGCTCAGAGCTCAAACTCTTGAGCGAGCTCTTAACCAACTGAGCCACTCGGCCAGCCCTCAGGTTTCTTTTTATTCTATACTGCCTCAGTGTTACCTCACCATTCCAGTTTACTGAAGTGTTTCCCACTCACCTTCAGAGGCTGCCTTTTCCAGGCCTGATCCATATCTTTGGAAAACAGTCTTGGACTTTAAAGGAACATTGCAAAAGCACCTTTTATCTTACATAAAGCGATTCACAAATTCAATTCACAAAAACGAACAGCTTTGTGTAAAGCCATACCTGGGCTCTCTTTTCAGAGTCTTCCCAGGATAGCCAGGAACCATTCTTTACCAGACCAAAAATGTAAAAGCCATCTTTAACTCTTCACACACACCGATCACAAACACAGCACTAAAAAGCAAAAGACAAACAACCTAGTAATTTAATTATGAAAGCCTTTACATTGTCAAGTCAAATTGCTATTAGAAAGTCTAATGTTGTCATGGAATGAATATGCTTTCAGTTGAAGGATCAAACATAGAAAAAAATACGATGTATCTGTTAGAGCACTCAACTTCATATTTTTCTTATTATTTAAGATGTTTTTAAATAACCGAGGTCACATTTTCAGAGATTTCCAAATGCCAGATTTTCTTATTTCAACTCATAATGGCTCTCAGAAAACTACTAAAAAGCAAGTAGGAGAAACAATGGAACTCAAAATGATCAAGTACTTTTGTTATTTGCTGTACAGTAGAGTAGTACCACTTCCACATTTCTTCACATGTCTTTCTTTTACAGAAAGCCTTTGTTTAATGCTCTGCCCCCAGATTTACTTGACCTATTAGTAAATGTGATATGGATTATCTGTTTTCAGCTTATACTGAGGTGAAATCTAAGGACCCTACAAAAGGAGATGAACTTTCTGAGGAAGATTTACTTTATCTCAGTCAGCTCCATGGTAAATATCTGTTCAGAAATGTATTTGTTTTGATTAGTCACTCATAGAGATCTTCGTAGCTTAAATATTCTTTACCCAGCTATCTCTAGTAAAATTTGGGTTAATTATACCTTATGTTTCTTCTGTGTTACCAGAGCACTTAGCGTAGTGCTAAATGCATGGTAAATACTCCATAAGTATTTGATTGACTAAACTGCATTTTGGGTTTTGATGTATGGAATTTTTTGTTTACTGGAGAATTAGAAAGAAAATGCATTTTGTTCCTATTTATGTTGCAGAAATTTCTAAAATGTATCACATCATTTTCATGCCTTGTTAAAAATACAATGAAGACAATGGACTCTTTGATAACTGAAGGTCATAGCTATTATTCAAACAGTGAATACTTATTATAAATCACTGTAGGTGTAAGAGACAGGGATGATTCTGTCTGAAGACATAATTTGGAAGTGTTATGAACTTATTTTTGTGTCCTTGGTTTCTTTTCCATGAATATGAATATCTTATAGAGAGATAAGTCCTGACTAATGTATGTTTATGGTTACTATATGTTAGTGTTTGAACAGTAAGTTTGAAGAGACCTTACAGATCATCTAGTCAACACTTAATTATATAGATAAGGACACTGATGCCAAAGAAGGAGTAATGGCTTGTGTAGGATTTCACAATGAGTTATTGCCACAATCCATTCAGGACTATTAGCACAGTCTTCCGACTTCCAGTATGTTTTTTTCTCGAATAATGGAAGTAAAACAATTTAATTTGAGGAAAGTCACAAAGAAAAAAATACCACACAGAAATAAATCCTTTTTTCCTATGGATGTTCTTTTTACTATAAAAGTTTTTCAATACTTTGTCTTCTAATGATAGGAGGTCACATCAGCTAAAATTTGTTTGCTGAATTGAAGAAAAGAAATGTGCTTATAAGTATTTATATGAAACATTATTTTACTTACAAAAGGCATTTGTTAAATATTTCACAAAATGCAATTGTCCTCTTTTCCTCTAGTTTCCAAGCCTGAAAATGAGAAGGAAGCAGAATCAGTAAAAAACAGCCCTGAAAAAGGTACTATGATCTAGAAATATTTAGTTTATGAAGTTATTCTTTTTGTAAATAGGGTTAACTACACACAGAGGAAAAGCAGATTGCCTTGAAAGGCTATTGATTTGTCCTGAAAGCTTTTTCAGTTCCTTCGTATTAGTTTAACAAATTATTCTTTCTTCTCTTGATACTCAAGTCCCCGAAGTTATAGAAAATATAATAGTAAATGACCCATAATTGCTTAATTTTATTATTTTAAAGATAATTACTTTTAATTACTAAAGTAATAGATAATCCTTGTAAAATAAATTTAAACAATATAGAAGTTTTCATACCTCCACCTAACACCACCCTGAAGTAAATGTGAAAACATTTTGGTTTACCATATTTGCCGGCGTATAAGACGACTCGGCGTATAAGACGACCCCCTAACATTTCCACTCAAAATACAGAGTTTGTTATATGGTTGGCTGTGTGGGATTTTGCGAGTGTGGTAAAATCGCATAACAGCAAAATCGCATAACAGCCGAGCATACACCCAGCAGCACTGCTGATGCCTGAACCGTATGTGGAATGAAGTGGGCGGGCATCGGGAGGCCACTATGGCACGGGGCAAGCACTATGGGCAGTCTATCTGAAGTGTACCTGGCGTATAAGACGACCCCCCACTTGGAGGCATATTTTTCAGGGCCAAAAAATCGTCTTATACGCCGGCAAATACAGTATGTCCTTTCCAGATCTGTTTATACACAAGCATGTATAGACATCTCTTTTAAAAAAAGCAAAACATTCTGTAAATACTGTTCTACAGTTTGCTTTTTTTGATTTTTGATATATCATGGACAACTCATTCAGCCTTAGGCTTTAAACTAAAGGAACATTGCGGAAGTACATTTTAGTTTAATACAGTTGGATCTATCTTATTCTTTTTAATGGTTGCAGAGTATTCCATTGTTTGGTTATAGCATAATTTATTTTAATAATAGCCTAATATTGATGAACATTTAAGTTTCTGATTATTTATATTACAAACTATGCTGCAACAAACATTTTTATACTTAAATTTTAGCATACTTTTACACATATTTCTTTAGGATAAGGTAAATTCATAGAGGTATGAGAATGCTGAGTCACCAAGAATATGCACATTTAATATTTTAATAGCGGCTGTCAAATTGCTCTCCAAAAGTCCATCATTCTTTTTAGGTTTTTGAGTAACAGTTAGAAAAATAATTGCTGAAGATCCCTTTATTTATGACAACTTACCCAGGTTGTTCAGTACCCCCACTAATTTTCTAAGGAATATTAAATAATTATTAATAAAGCCACTTTAATATCATCTTGATTAAACTCTTCAAAGGAATGAATAAGTAGTGTTTTGAATTTTTGAGAAAGAGCCACCATAGACCACTTTAGTATTTACATATTAAGAACATCATATAGAAGCTATTTTAAACTTAGTAGTATGCATGAAAATGTCTACATGAAATTTACATCATCCAGGGTGTACTGTTTAATCTAAAATGCATCCTTCTCCATCTCTCCTCACGTCTTCCCTAGTTCCCAGCCTTCCCAAAGTAAAAGTTTTAGTTTAGTGGAAATGGAGAAGTATCCTGAGAACCAGTAAGTGAAATAAAAGGTAAATTCAGATCATTTCCTGGATAAAAAAAACAGGTAGAATCTTATAACTCAGTGAAATATCTTTCAATCATAACTATTCTTTTTGAGATTTGGGCAAATATAGTGGACTGTTTCTTATGAAATGATTTTATTCCCTTCATTCAGGCAAAGGAAAAGTTGATATTCAAGCATATCTAAGTCAATGGCAAGATGAGCTTTTCAAAAAAGAAGAAAACATTAAAGATTTACCAAGAATGAATCAGGTATAGTACTTCCAAAAAAAGATCCTAGGTTCTTGTTTTTATTTTTATGAATGTGGGTGTATCCCTCTCTAAAATAACTTACATGTTATTACAAAAATAGTTAAATAATCTATGTATCATCTCTGTAAGTTTTACATGAACACAGAAGAGGGAGATCAAATTTTTTTAACGCTTAAATGCATCTAGTGTTTCAGTATAGTTCCTCTGCTATGACAACATTGAAAAGATGGATATATACCGAGGTGCCAAAAAAATGTAAACACGTTTTAAGAGATCTCGTACATTTTTTGGCACCCTCTGTGTGTGTGTGTGTGTGTGTGTGTGTGTGTGTACAGCCAAAAAATGTATACACATTTTAAGAGATGTTATCTATGCTCAAGCAGTAGTTCACCGTAATCAGAAGCGTCTGGATGCTGATGGTAACCACTTTGAGCACCTCCTGTAATTGCAGAAGTCAAACCTGAATTTGTAATCATCTTTTGTTATCGGTATATATATATATATTTTTTTTTTAATTGGGGAATTGGGGGATGGGAACAGCACTGGGGAATTGACGGAAGGGGAACAGACAAGTTGCTGTCTTTTTGTTCTTCAGTCTAGTTATGGAGGACGTTGTTTCACTGGCCCAAGTTGGCACCATCATTGCACTCTTCCCGGGTGAGGCAGATCAGCCGCTGGCTTCTGGACAGCCGCTCACTGCGGCTGCTGGCCGCTCACACTGGCTGCTGACTACACACGGTAGCCCATGGCAACCCACTGCAGCAGGGGCTGCAGCCTATGCCGTCGCCGGCAACTCACAGCAGCCCAGCTCCAGGTTGAGCTGTTGTTCAGCATCTTAGCTGTAGAGGGCAGTGTCACTGGCCTTCATATGTGGGATCTGAACCGGGCCCTCTGGCGTCCCAAGCCAGCTCTTAACCATCGTGCCACTCGGCCAGCCTGTTATCGGTATATATTGAGTATTACAATTTTAATACAGTTTTCCTTTCTTAAAATGTGTATACATTTGTTTGGTACCATATGTGTATGTGTGTGTGTGTATTGATATATATGTATGTATGTATTTTGGTGTTTTCTATTGTCAGCTTTATTAGCAATGTACATTTATTCAGTAAACACTTTTAGTGCCTACTAGATGACACACTCAATGCTAGGTGCTAGGAATAAGAAATTACTAAAATAGGTCATACCCTGGTTCCTAATCATGTATTTGAACCTGCTCAAACTATACTAATGGCTAGTATTGACAAAATTCTAAACCTGTCTCTTTCTTACACAGTATTCAGTTGGTCTTTGTTCATATATATATATATATATATATTAAATGAAAATCTGTTGGTATAGATACTAAGGATTCCCAAAACCTTACCAAAATGAGAACTATCAAATAGCTTAGTAGACTACGTAATTTGATAGTTGAATAAGTACTTTTTTAAATGAATCAATAAGGAAGTATTTATTCTAACATTTTTATAAATAGTACTACAGACTAAAAAAAAGAAATAAAACATGTAAGTTTGATAGAATATATTGGGTTGTCGGAAAAGTCATGATGTATTTTTTCTATGGTTTTCGTTGCAAAAATGCGTCATGGTTTCTCTGACAACCCAATATTTTTATGAAGGACGTCTTCATATTTGTTATTTATTTACAGATAAACTTTTCTGGTAGGATGAACTGACAGGACTCTTGTGTTGGAATGTCATGGATTATCCAGGGGAAATTAGCAAACAGTCCAGTTTATTTCTCCACTTGGGCCTCACCTCAGCCTTTAAAGAGAAACAAGTCCAAATGGGCCCCTTAGAGCTACCTTGTACTACTATTGTAGATAGGTCCCAAAACATTCTTCCCTAAATGTAAGTCGTCCCTGTTGAGTTGCCCACTCTAGCCCTTTGAGAAGATCAAGGGGATCTCTTCTTAATCCTTTCATTAAGATTGTTTAATGAATGAATGATCTACATGTAGGGAAAAATAGGACTTTACCTAATTAAAAGTACCTCCTAAAGCTGAAGGAATGCTGGCAGGTAAGCTGTCCAGAATGTATTATATGTATAATATATGTATATAATATACTGTTGTTAGGCAACAAATGAGATGTCTTAAATGGAATTTTCTAGATGAGTATCTAGGTTGATACTCATCTTCCTAGAACAGAGGTTGGCAAACTGCGGCTCGCGAGCCACATGCAGCCCTTTGGGTACATACATGTGGCTCTGAAGTAAAATTGAAAATGAAAATAAAACTCTCATAGTTTCATTTATGAAATTTTTAAAGGATATTATTCACATAATGGTGATTTCATTTGTTTTATGGCTCTCGAATAATTTTTAAATTGTTGTGAGGGACAGGATTGGCTCTTCCGTCTCAAAAGTTTGCTGACCCCTGTTCTAGAACCAAGATTTATTTGAGGATTAATCTATTCTTGTAACTTCTGTGGTGAAGGTTAAATAGTACAAATTCTAAATAGGAGACTATTCACTTCTAAGCTCCCTTTATATTTGCTAAATCTAATATCAAATGTGATATTTCCAACTTGTGTCTTCTAGTCACAATTTATTCAGTTTTCAAAGACACTTTATAACTTATTTCATGGGGACCGTGAAGAAGAGTCGTTATATCAAGCCATTGCTGTTGTGACCAGCCTTTTGCTCAGGATGGAAGAAGTTGGAAGGAAACTACATGGCTCTACATCATCAGCCAAAGGTTTCTCTGGTACAGTTGGTGATTCTGGAGGAGCCTGTGAGGAGAAACCAGAGAGCAGCTTGGAGAAAGATCCCACCTTGCCCAGGGAAGAACCTCAGTGGTCATTTGCATTTGAACAGATTCTTGCGTCTTTGTTGAATGAACCAGCATTGGTGAGGTTTTTTGAGAAACCCATAGATGTAAAAACCAAACTAGAAAATGCAAAAACCTCTCAGTTAAGCTCTAGAACCAAGATGTAAATCTCTTAACAGAAATTGCCTATCAGACAAGTTTACTAAGATTCCTGTAGCTGTCAGCTTAATTCCTGGGAGTAGAAATCAGGGATTTATCTTGTTACCAATGTGTTCAAAGGTTTAAAAAAGTTTATTGGAGGAACAATGATTCATTCCTTTGTAGTAATCTCTAATTTTGATACTCTCCAATACAAATGTACTTTTTATATTTTACAAGATATGCTATATCTGGGGAGTATGCTAAATGGTGCCACCAGAGGGCGCCACCATATTGCTTTAGTAAGAAATTACTTGTTTGTGTTGCTATTTACATATGAATTAACTGATAATTTTGAAAATGTGTGTTATATTTGAGTATTAGTGATGACAATATGTCATATTGATAAACGCTACTTTCCAAATTTCCTCAGTCCTATTAGAATGCTTAGAAAACCAGGCTTTTGGATTTATAGTCTTAATTATCTACAAGATTACCATACTGGGGGCTCATTTTCAAGTTACCTAACTGAAATAGTATTAACTTTTTAAAGTTAACCTCATTCGGTCTTCTAAAAGTAATTTTTTTAGTAACTTCTGAATTCTCCCTACCTGAGCAGTTCAGAAACTGCTGACTCACACTTCTAGCTGTTACTGATAAAAACAAAGCAAGAACTCAAAACTCTGGCAGGGCTAATATAAGGGAAAACAATATTGGATTTGGATTTAAGCTGGATAAAGCCAGCCTTTTCAGAAGGATTAAGAAACAGTTCAGTTAACTGTATAGGTCTCTCATTAAACTGAGAAATTACTTGAAATTCTTTGGAGCACGGTGGTTTGTGGCATTTATCTCAGAATAGCCTGTGACTGCTTTGGTTCCAGCTTTAGATTTTGGATTTTCACCAGATATATCTTAAGTTACGTTAGATAGACTGAATTATTGTATTAGTCTGGCAAGTTCATAAAGTATATTTGTCTATAATGATTGTTAAGGTAATGTATAGAATTGCTGGTATCTATCTAAAAAGTTTTGACTATCTGATTTAGATGTATAATTTCTATATACTTAATGCTGCTCATATGTCAGTCATTACAATGCAAGTCCAAGTGGAAATAATAGGCTTTGTTAGCACTTTAAAAAAAAGTAAATCACACCTGTTTAACCTTCTATGCTGTTTCTGACAAGAGCAATTTATTAATCAATTGACTTCAGAATTGTGGGAAGAAATCCATTGCAGCTTCTTTCTTCACCAAAGACTTTGGTTTTAATCCCATTGACCTTTTGGATGTGAAACAGCGAAAGGGTAGATATTCTTTAGAGTGACCCAAGAAGTCTCCTTTTCTGGAAAGACATTGGTATACAAGTAGTCTGCCTTTGGCAAGACTCCACTGTGAACAAGGTCTAACACAGAGGGCTTTGTCACCATAGAATATGTTATTTTCAGAGAGACTAAAGAATTTATATGTAGAACCTTTGAAAATTTCAGTAATTGGGCTTGGCCAACCACTTAGTAGTAGTATCTTCAAAATGATTTGCTCAACCTTGTCTTTTCAAGGAAAATACCACTTAAAGAGATAGTTGGTAAATAAGCATATATTCCTTTTCTTAGAAATGATTTGCTGAAACATGCCCAGATTGTAGAGTTAATAATTTATATGTAAACTACCACACATCTGCTATTATGCAATGATTGATAAATTAGACTGCAGTAGCTCTAGGAAGACACGAGGCTCTGCGCTTATGTACAAAGGCACTATTGCACATACTTTGTTTACTATTTTGTCAATTGTATTTACATAAAAGATTCTTAAGCGCATATGTTATTAATATTTGGTATGATTTTTAAGTCAGAAGATTAAAGATTACCTTAGTATTGTAGTCTATATTAATTAAAATTGAATGCTTAAAGAGATTTTTGAGTTGCAAAAAGATTATACAGTCAAGTTAAACATTTGTTTTGTGAGTCTGCAGGAGAAATAAGCTAAACACATAGTTTTATAGTGGCTACCTTTTTAAGCAAATGGGTTGTTCTTAATATTAAAAATCTTATGTAAGGGCCGGCCGAGTGACTCAGTTGGTTAAGAGCTCGCTCAAGAGTGTGAGCTCTGAGCAACAGCCATTCGAGTCCTGGCCCAAGCTGAGCAGCTGCTGAGCTGCCAACAGGCGGGAGGATGGCTCAGCTAAAAAAAAAATCTTATGTGTCTGTGTCAAACTGAACCAGTATGTTATACATTAAATTAAATATGTTATAAAGTAGCTTTACTTGTCTTTATAAAACTACATATTATAAATCTATTATAATAAACATGAAAAATGGTTTACATATTACTATTTGTTACGATAAATTTTTATTTACACTTAACTCAGTTATCACTTAAGGACTTCCGTCCCATGTTAGTTAAGATTCAGTTGCAGAGAACAGAATTCACTCTAATTAGCTTAGTCAGGAAAAGATTTATTGCCAGACATTAAGTGGCTTACAGAATTATCAAGAGGACTGACTCTAAATTGAGCTTTCAAGAACAACATCCACAGTTACAGCACAGAACCAGGCCACCAAGGGAGTTGCTAATTCTTCTACGATTAGGAAACTGCTACTTCCCACTGCCATGATGAAAAGCCAACATTACAGCTGCTACCTCCAGATCCTTGCCCCACCTGCTATGATTTACATCAGCAAAATAGATGCCAAGCCTCTCAGTACCCACAGCTAGCGACTAAACTGCAATTAAACAACCCAACATCTTCACAACCACATTTACCAGCAGAAATGGCAGTACCATAGCCTCCACCTCCCTTCTGTTGTTCAAGTCTCACGAGTATACATCTGATTGGCCTATAATATATCCAGAATCCTAGTTGCCAGGGAATCTGAGAAATCTCTGTTTTAGCTTTTTAGCCTCTGCAGTACAGGACGGCACACTAAGAGGCTGGAATGGACATCGGGCACTGTTTGTTTTCTATTGCTGTGTTACAAATTACCACACACACGTTTATTATCTCACCCTTTCAGTTGGTCAGGACTCTGGGCTCAGATTAGCTGGCTCCTCTGTTTAGGATCTCACATGGCTGCAACCAAGGTGTCAGCCAAGGTGGTTCTCATGTCAAGGCTCAACTGGGGAAGAATCCACTTCCAAGCTCACTCAGGCTGTTGGCAGAATTTATTTCCTTAGGATTGTGGTCCAGAAGCCCCAGCTTTCTGCTGGTAGTCAGCTGGAAGCCATCCGCAGTTCCTAGACGCTTCACACAGCTCCTACCAGCTGCCCTTAGCTTCTTTAGGCTGCCCAAGGTTCCTTGCCAAGTGGGCTTCTCCAAATTGGTCACTTACTTCATCAGTCCAGCAAGGAACCTCTAGAGCAAGTCTGCTGGCAAGACAGCATCTTAGAGGGCCGACCGAGTGGCTCAGTTGGTTAAGAGTTGGTTTAAGAGCACGAGCTCTGAGCAACAGGGCCGCCGGTTCAATTCCCACATGAGCCAATGATGCTGCGCCCGAGCTGAGCTGTCACTGAATTGCCAACAGGTGGCAGGATGGCTCAGCTGGTAAGAGCACGTGCTCCTAACAACAAGGTTGCCTGTTCAACATGGTGAGCTACACCTGCCCGCAACTAAAGACTGAACTCGACACCTTGAGCTGAGCTGCCACCCGGATGGCTCAGTGGATAGAGCGTGCACTCTTAACAACGAGGCTGCTGGTTTGACTCCCACATAGGATGGTGGCTACGCCCACCCGCAACTAAGACTGAATACAGTACCTTGAGCTTAGAGGCCACGAGCTGCCGACGGGCAGCGAGATGGCGACTGGCGCCCTCCACAATGAAGATTGAAGAACAACAACTTGTCTGTTCCCCTTCCCCAATTCCCCAACACTGTTCCCCTCCCCCAATTCCCCAATTAAAAAAAAATTTTAAAAACAGCATCTTACATAAAGTAACAGAATCTCACAGTACTGATCTCATCCCCTTTGCCATATTCTGTTGGTTAAAGGCAACTCACAGGTGGCGCTCACTCTCAAGGGGAGAGGCTTACACAATGGCATGAATATCAGGAGTCAGATAGTAGATGCCAAGTGGTATTTCAAATGGCTGTATCAGCTAACACTCCAGTCAGTCATAATCAACAGTTGTGGTAAGTCTGCGTCCTCACACACACTTGGAATGGTCTGCCACTTTTCATCTTAGCCACCCTGGTGGGCGTATAATGGTATCTCATTGCTGTTTTGATTTGCACTTCTCTGATTTTCTTTAAAATACACTATTGAGGTATAATTTACATACAAATCAATGTACCCATTTGAAGTGTACATGTTGATGAGTTTGACATGTGGTGTATCCACCCACACCCCAATCAAGGTATAGAACATTTTCAATACCCAAAAAAGTTCCCTTGTTCCCCAACCAGGTCAACCGCCCTTACCCACAGGCCCAGGCAACCCTTGATCTGCTTTTTGTCATATGTTAATTTCATCTTTACTAGAATATCATAGCAATTGGGTCACACAGTACATTCTCTTTTGTGTCTGCCATTTCTGGCCCAGCGTAATATCTGTAAGATTCATCTATGCTGTCGCCCATATTGGAAGTTTATTCTTTTTAGAATTTCATTAGTATGAATAGACCACAATTTGTATATCCATTCACCTGTTCATTGACATTTGAGTTGTATCCAGGTTTGGCTGTTATGAATAATGTTGCTAGGAACATTTGCATACACATTTTTTTGTGAACATGTTTTCATTTCTCTAGGATAAATACTCAGGAATGGGATTGGTGGGGATTGATGGAACATATAAATATATTTTTAACCTCATAAGGAACTTCCCGAATGTTTTCTAGATTAGGTGAATCATTTTGCATTCCCATCAGCAGTGTATGAGAGCTCCAGTTGCACCACATTCTCGCCAGCATTTGGCGTCCTTAAAATTTGACTTTTTAATTTTGGCCATTCTGGAAGGTGTGTAGTAGTAGTTCATATTGTAGTTTTAATTCGTATTTCACTGATGACTAATGCAGTTCAGCATCATTTAATGTATGTATGGGCCATTCTTATATCTTTTATGAAGAGTGTTAGCATCTTCACTGATTTTTAATATTTTTTTCCAGTTTTATTGAGAAATAATTTACATAGTATAAATTTTGTATAATTTTAAGGTGTATAGCAAGATGGTTTGATTTACATATATTGTAAAATGATTACCACAATAGATTTAGTTAATGTCCATCATCTCATCTCATACAGATATGATAAAAACAAAACACATTGTTTTCTCTTTGTGATGAGAACTCTTAGGATCTAGACTCTCTTAACTTTCCTATATATCATACAATAGTGTTAACTATAGTCACCAGGCTGTACATTACATCCCTAATATTTATTTGTCTTATAACTGGAAGTTTGTACCTTTTGACCACCTTCCTCCAATTCCCCCTTTCCCCCACCTCCTGCTTCTGGTAACAACAAATCTGATCTCTTTTGTGTGCGTGTGGGTTTTGTTTTGTTTAGATTCCACATAGAAGGGAGATCATGTAGTACTTGTTTTTCTCTGTTTTATTTCACTTAGCATAATACCTTCAAGGTCCATGCAAATGGTAAGATTTCCTCATTTTTTATGACTGAATAATATCCTATCCTATTTTGTGTATCTGTGTATACACACAAAAAAATGTATACACATTTTAAGAGACGTTAAATACTTTGGTCAGTGTTGCTCAAGCAGTAGTTCACCATAATCAGAAGTGTCTGGACGCTGATGGTAACCACTTTGAGCACCTCTTGTAATTGCAGAAGTCAAACGTGACTTGTATTCATCTTTGTTGTCAGTATATATTATTACAAATTTAATACAGTTTTTTTCCTTTCTTAAAATGTGCATACATTTTTTTGGCACCCGTGTGTGTGTGTGTGTGTGTGTGTGTGTGTACACATATACATACATACATACATACATACATACATATATGCACACAAGCATACATACCATGGCTTCTTTATCCATTCATCCATCAAAGGACACTTAAGTTCTTTCCATATCTTGGCTGTTGTAAGTAATGCTGCTATGAACATGAGGGTGCAAATATATTATTGAATTAGTGTTTTTGTTTCCTTTGGATATATTCCCAGAACTAGAATTGCTGGATCACGTGGTAGTTTATTTATAATTTTTGAAGAACCTCCATACTGTTTTCCATAGTGTCTGTGCCAATTTACATTCCCACCAACAGTGCACACGGGTACTCTTTTCTTCACATCCTAGCCAGTATTTGTTATCTCCTGTTGTTTTGATGATGACCTATTAAGGTGTGAGATGATATCTCATTAATTTTCATTTCCCTAGTGACTAATGATGTTGACCATCTTTTCATGTACCTATTTGCTGTCGTTTCATTTGTATATCTTTTTTAGAGAAATGTGTATTTATGACTTTTGGGGGTTTTTTTTGGCTATTGAATTGTATGAGTTATTTATATATTTTGGAAATTAACCCCTTATCATATAGATGGTTTGCAAATATTTTTTTTCCCATTCCATAGGTTGTCTTTTCATTTTGTTGATAATTTTGTTCACTGTGCAGAAGCTTTTTAGTTTCATGTAGTCCCAATTGTCTATTTTTTATTTTGTTGCTTGTGCTTTAGGTGTGATTTCCAAATCATCACAAAGTTCCATATCAAAGAGCCTTTTTCCTCTGTTTTCTTCTAGGAGTTTCATAATTTCAGGTCTTACATTTAAGTTTTTAATCCACTTTGAGTTAAGTTTTGTGAGTGGTGTGAGATAGGGTCAAGTTTCATACTGTTACATGTGAATATCCAATTTCATTTTACTATCTATATCAGTTTACCTTTCCTTGTCATTTCATATAAAGAGAATCATACAATGTTTAGTCCTTTGCATCTGGCTACTACTTTAACTTATAATGTTTTTGAGGTTCATGCATGTGGTAGCTAACTATCAGCGGTCAGTTCCTTTTTATTGTTGAGTAGTATTCCATTGTATGGATATATCACAATCTGCATCAGTTCAACAACTAATCTACATTTGGATCATTTCCACCTTTCGGCTATTATCAGTAATGCTACTATGCACATTTGTGGTGCAAGTGTTTGTGTGGTCATG